GTTATTTGTTTCATGTATCATTGTACAGCACTTTGACTACCCTTGTGGTTATTTTAAAATGTGCTATATAAATAAAGTTGATTGATTGATTGATTGATACTTTTTTTTTTGAATGGTCTTCAGTGCCTTGCTGCATATTTCTCCTGAATTTATTTTTCAACACAGATATGTTAATGTTTCGTGATGGTTCAGTGAGATGTGTGTTTGGTTTGTTAATTTAGATACAGGGTAGAGAATATTCGTTTACAAGCAGAAAACATTTTGCTTTGAATGAAACCACTAACAGCATTTTTTGTTCAGGCAGGTTTGTCTGAATGCATGATAGAGTAGTGAGAAAAGAAAATAGAAAGGTCAAAGGCAGATAAAAAAAGAGAGACACAGAGAACAGTGAAGGTTAAGTGAGGAGGAAGAGGATTAGCTTGAGAGTAAGGGCATTTTTTGGGTGTAGACTGAAAGACAAGGAAAAGTGAAAGAGAGAGAGAGAGAGAGAAATGAAGGGCAGAGAAAAGAATGTAAGAAAAAGACTGAGCGGGAGCACAGACAAAGGGGAGGAAAGGGTGAAACTAAAAACAATGCAGAGTTGAAAGCAATTGAAAGCAAAGGTTAGGAACTCAAAGAAGGAGAGGAAGAGTAAGAGCAATGTAGACAGAGAGAGGAGAGAGAGAGCGCACCCTCTATTCTGTTAACTACTGTAGTGTGGGAAATGGGATTTTGTGTCACATTGCTCCAGCAAATTGCCTCATGGTGCTGGGTTACAGAGGAAAGCTACTGCTTCTTCCAGTCATATATATATATAGCTTTTCAGAGACTAGCTTTGGGCCCGTAGGTGCCCTGCTGCAAAGTTAACACGGGGTGTCGGAATCATTCAAGATAAATTGGTTCCTTGGGTCATGGTCAGAGGATGTTGGCAAGACTTTGGCTGCAGGGTGAGCTGACTGCAATAAGATATAATTAGGAGGGGGGAAGCACTCCATAGGTAGCAAATGTTAGGCTTGGGCAGAATGAAAGCTCTCCAAAATGTCCGGGAGTTTGCACTACATTTAAGAGTTTGCATTATCATGTGGCTATTTTTGAAAGCAGGCTGGGCTAAATAAAATTTGCTCACAGTTCTCATGGAGTTGGTTTACAAACCGATTGGTATGCTAACTTTGACCATAGCTGAGTTTTCTATCCACATGTTGCATAAGAGTTCCGGTGACATACCGTATATGCAGGTATGTTTCATAAAATGCTGTTCGTTTTGTCAGTATTTGTGTACAGTAGCTCAAAACCTGCATAACTAAGGGCGTTAGCTTAGTTCCTGTTGGGAGATCTATGCTTGTGTTCTCAGGTATCTCAAAAATAGGAAATAGGTTTGACCAGAGCACTGACATTTCTGTTTAATTTTAACACAATATAACCCAACCCAACCCAATCCTATCCAAAAAGGTTTGTTTTTTTTCCTGGGGGGCGGTTGAAAGCACATAGACCAGCAAGTAAACAATGTTAACACCGAACAAGTGTAAACAATTGAGGAAAATAAACAATACTACAAATAATAGTAGAAATTACTATTGCTAAAATACTCAGAAATCTGAGTACTGGTGATTAGCACGATGGGTGCAAATTGGCAATAATTGGCAAGCAAATGCAAGTAAGCCTGAGGTAGGTGTATTACAGGTGCAAATGGCATTCAAACATATGTAAATAGGCAGTAAGAAGTGCATTTTGTCTGTTTTGAGTTGAGAACCAGCACAGCTTTGGGCACAAAGGTGGCCTTTCTCCTCTGAGTTCTGCAGTCAGCAGTCTGATGGGAGCCACTCAAACTTTGGGAACAAAGTGTGTGAGGGGTCTTGTACAATGCGGCCTGCTGTCCTGCATGTGAGATGTTCATTAAAACTGAATTGTGCCTCTAAATGCAAGGAAACAAAGTGATTTTCCCCCCCTCACTACTCAGTAAAACCTTGAGCAGGGTACACACTACAAAATAATCCTGCTAATTTTGGGCCCAATTCCCATCAGGCTTTGTCTTCAGTAAAACAAACCAATACCTTAATGACCAGAGGGGATGTTGAAAACAACTTGCTATAATTATAATCAGATAACTATAAAAAATAAAAATAAAAAGTTAACTTAGACCTATACAAAAATTGTTGTTTACAAAAAAGAAGAAATGTAAGCCACAACAACAACAAAACCAAAATGGTTCTACACATGTTGGTATTATAATGTTGGTATTTGCAATTGTATTGAACATCTAGCCTACCAGTATTGCACATTGGCATAGCATTGAGTTATTGCCTGTAAATTGTGCTAAAAAACCTGGATTACTGGGAGCAGGTCTAGTTAAACTGTCTGACTGCAGCAGGAAGAAAGGACTTGTGGTACCTCTCTGCAAGGTGGTAGTCCATTCCTGTGGGCTGCAGCTCGCCCCTTTAGAAGCACAGGCTGTATGGTGTTGAAGGTAATGGAGAAATCACTGAACATTAATTCCCCAACTGAACATTGGGTCTCTCGACAGTTAGCTTTGCTGTGCTACAGAGGGCTAACAGCTGATCACAGGTGTAAATAATGAGCACGCTGCTGCAACATGGAGTCTGCGGTCACTGAAGTGAGGAGTAGAGTGAAAAACAGCAGGAATACCAAAGCAAACTCAACCAACTTCCAACCAAATGTATATTTACAGGAATAAAAAAAAAAATAAATGAAAAGTTAAAAAAGGAAAAGAACCACAAACAGGCCTCATTTCAATATAAAGCAAAAAAAAAAAAAAAAAAAAAAAAACAGTTCAGTGATATTGTTGAGTGACAGCACAACTTTTTGGGTATAAAAAGATTTTTGTCATGTCACCTAGCTTGTTTCTGGAGTGGATTTGACTCTGTTTTCATACTCTGGGGAGACTGAAAAGCTTGCCGGACATTTTGTATGGGACTCCTCTCTCTCTCTCCTTCTCCCTTTTGTCTGCATCTCTCTGTCTTCTTCTCTTTCATGTCTCTTTCTGCAGATTTCACAGTTGATGCTCTTTATCTCTCAGGACTGCAGGTCTGGTAAATATTAATTATTCATACTGCTGAAAGACAATGCTTCTTCTTCACAGCAACAATTCACACACACATACACAGAGGGGGAGAAAAAGAGAGAGAGTTTCATACACACATATCCAAGCGTATGTAATTACTAAACTTTATTAAGTCATTTTTATGTTTATTGACTTGGAAAAGCAAGAGTTTTTTTTATTCGCACATCCTAACATTTCCCAAGAATCAGTATTTAAATGATTTTACAAATAAAACTTTCCAAAGGTGGACCACAGATGCTGCTTTGTGTGTTGATCTGAGGATTGGCTTTAGTTTAAAAGGAAATTTATCTCACAATAGGAAGGTCGGTGGTTGTATCCAATGCAAATCAAGCAATTTAATAGATCCTGATGGGTTCTCAATATAACGTCCTCTGTCATACATGTGGTGCTAATGGGTAAATCTGACAAGTGTAAAGCTGCATTAAGTGGTTGGAAAGACCAGAAAAGTGCTTCATAAGTGTAAGTCCATTTTCCATTCACTCCTGAACACCTCAAAAGCATTTACAGATGAAACCCGCAGACCCTTTTACCAGTTTTGTTTTGTCTTTCTTAAAAAAAAAAAAAAAAAAAAAAAAAAAAAAACTTTGATCAGTAGAATTACCTCTGCTGCTTACATGTGCACATAATGTCACTGTGTTAGTCAGTGTGTGTGCATGTGCGTGTGTGTGTTTAGGAGACAAAACCACAGGACATTGTGCGGCCTTTCACTAAGAACACGATTATTTGTTCATTTGTTAGTCTGAATACAGAGAACACAGTGTTTTTGTCCTTGTACCAAAAAAAAAAGCTTGTGTTTATGTGCATGTGTGTTTACAGCCTGTCCATTATTCCACCCCTCACTGAAAGAATGATATGCATACACTAAAGCACAAATAAATGCAGGCTTATACATGACTCTTTACACAGGATGCAGCTCACTTTATGCAGGGGGGTTTTGTTAGCATATGAGGGAAACTGTTTTCCTGACATCAATCATGTGACACAGCTGTGACGAGTATTCCTATTAGATTTAAACCATCAGCTAGTTGAAGCTAATGTATTGTATAAGAAGTTTAATGTGACACAGAAGACACGTGTAATGCCTTGGTTCAAAATACTCAGTTAGGTGTGTAAAAAAAATAGCATTGTCATATGAGGCTGTTTTTCCCCTTTTCTCACAGTGATTCAGTGACTCGTGGGAGCTATTAACGGCTCTTTTCAAGGGTATTACAAAAAACAGCTGAAAACAGAACTCATTTACAAAATCCTCCACACATGATCAAATAGATGATGTTGTTGATGTTCAGCTGTATTTAAATTCATGATGCAATGATGATAATGACAACACAAATGATTATATATATATATATATAAAATAATTCCAACCTCTATTTTTGACTCATTCTGTCTTGAGAACACCAGTTAGAGTAGTCATATAAGAAACTTAACCACAAGTTTGAGTGGTAGGTTCTGGAATAAAATTTATTGTGGCATCAAACAATGTCAAACGTGAAAACAATTTCAACATTTGTTGAAAATTTTTATTGCACAGAGTGAACAGCAGCAGCAGAGCCACTGTCTGATGTCTGGCATGCCCGATCTCTCTCATCTAAACCCCAATCTTGAAGGCTCCCTCATGTGGAGCCTCATTCAGTAATGAGCTTCTTCGGCCATGTTTGTTTGTTATTCTGCTCTGTGTGGGCTATGGCTGTGAGTCCGTCGCTCGCGTTTATGTCATGAACTTGCATTTATCATATTTATTTTTTCAGATCATAGATCTCGAAAGATAATTTATCACCCATCCCTACAATGTAATAATGTTAAGTATTATGTTTCATGCAAAGTACAATATCACATTTTAAAAAAAACATTACACAGTATTTTTAAAACCTTATATAGCTGGGAATCTACATCGATATAGTGTTTGATTATGGGTTTCTAGCACTTGTGTAGTGTAATGAATGGGTTTGACAGCAGGATGACTCCCTATTTTTCTCAGATTGGACAGAAACCAAGAGTCCAACTGTTTGATGGTTGTTTCTAACATAACACTCTTGCAAAAACTAGGGGTAGGGTTCAGGTGACCATGAAGAGATGTGAGATAGTCCCTGTGGCATCTTGTCTGAGGGTTTCAAAGCCAAAGCACTGACCAAATTATTAATGAAACGAGGCTCAGCAGGGTTATGTTTCCATCTGATCTCCAAAACAAAGATCGTCCAAGACCAGGATTGGATCTCTGCTTATGTCCAGTAAATTACCACGACAGTGCCAACAGTATAAGAGAGCCAGGCGTTTCCTGTAAAGGCAGAAAGAGAAACACAAGCAGGAGGGCAATCACCTCATTCTGGGAGGCTGAGGCTGGGGTCAGTTAGAGGAGGTGTGGGTGGTTATTGGCTGGAGAAAAAATAGGCAAGGGAGATCAGGGATATTATGGGTGGTAGTGGTATATGATTGGTTGGAGTGTAAAAAAGCAGAATTGGTCGATGCAGACGTGAACCCTATGAGTAGTAAATGATTAAGTTTGTGGTGTTGTCTTTAGTTCTTGAGGTCTGAAACTCTCTGTCGTGTAAAAATGCTCCTGCAGCAAAATGACCAAGACCTTTTTTATTTTTCTCCACTTGCACTATTCCCTCCCGTCAACCATAATGTTTAATCTCCTGAATGAAATTGTAGAATTGTACATTGTATTTCTACAAACATGAAGTCATACAATCCCTAGTTTATGGTATCAAGAACAACCCAGGTTGAGTATAATGAGTCTGCGGTTCATGATCGATGTAGGTGATGATATATTTAATGGGATCATTATCACTGAAGCTGTGGGACAGGGCTGGAAACAGATACAAGCGCAGATGTGCCTCTTTCAATCATTCAGGACATTAACAATGCATCACAGATTGATCTATTGGAAAATCAAAGCAAGCATTGTATGATCTCACCAGTGGTCTGACATTTAAAACAAGCAACAAACAAGCCCTGCAAGGACATCGTTGACATACAAATCAACCTGACCTTGATTTACCCGCCGCATACAGTACGTGTATCTCATTTGATTGGATTTGAGACCAGTGAGCAGTTTTTGGTCTGGATGATATCTTTGAGGACTTAGCTGAATATTACAGAGTCAGACAGGACAGATGACAATTTAGCTCCTATGGGATTGTTTATTTTTAAATCAGTAAAGATAACAGCATGCAGGCCTAATGCCATCTGAAGCGACGCCATAAAAATGTGACTTCTCATTTGAAACTATCAAATGAAAATAAAATTATGCGAAGGAAAGAATTAGAGCTGCAACAGATTAAATCTTCTGATTTATATACTGTATATATTTTTTTCTTCAAAATAATCCAATTTAAAGAATAAAACCAAAAATAAGTAGATTTCGCTGAGCAGTAATGAGTATCTGGAGTCTGGGGTTGCTCTTTTCTCTTAGAGACTCATGTTGTTGTTCAGTAACAAAGTGGGAAGAAAGTAAGTCCTTTTTATTCTAGTTGATAAATAAAATATGATTATGAACACACACACACACACACACACACACACACACACACACACACACACACACACACACACACACACACACACACTCAGTAGTCTTTTTTTTAAATCTGTCCCCATACACTGTCATACTGAGGTTGGTCCACATGAAAGACAACAGACAGGTATGGATTCATAGATATAAATTATTTATAACCAATGCAATGTCCACTACTTTTAGTAATGTTGGATAAAATGCGCACATTCCTGTTTCCATGACATCAAGCCCTTTTTAAGTTTATGCATTTTAATACAGTTTCTGTTGCAATTAGATCGTGGGGTGGGAATGAGAGGTTGGGCTGGGGTTGATTTGGTTATTCTTGTAATCTTGGGTTGGGGTAAATTTGTGTATTCTTTGTTTCTTTTATTCCTTTTTCTGTGTGAAGCACTTTGTGCTACATGTTATGTATGAAAAGTGCTATAAAAATAAAGACTGATAGATTGATTGATTGAAAATCCCATGCATGGCTCTTTAATGAGATTACCTAGCTATCAGTCTGAACAATATCATACTAAACTCAACATTGTACAAATCCATAGAAGTGTGTCAGGAAGAATATGGTCAAGGGGACAGCAACTTGATTATTTTATGGATTGCTCCTTTAAAAGTATTAATGGTATTGTTGGTGTCTGTTCATCCATTATCTTAGGTTACCAACAATATTATACTTCGTATTACATTGGCTGATATTGAGGCTATTGGTGTTACTGCTGAATAAGTGACCCTGTAGTGTGGAGATGTGCCGTCTGTTACCATGACAACTGCATTATCATTCTGCTAAAAGTTGCGAGTGTACAGGCGGGCTGTAAAATCACACTCCTGGTTGTCATCCTCAATCCTGAGGCAGGATGACAAACCTTTCTCGTGTGCCAGGAATTTACTACAAAGAAATTAACAATGGTCAAAATTATCAACAAAATTCAGAATAAAAAGTATTATTAAAATGATATAGCAACAGGATTGAAAAGTTATTTGGAAGTTAGACATGCACTGCATTGAACATATCATATTGTTGGCTTGTGAACATGATGTAAAAACAGACAGCAACATAACCATTAATACCCCAAAGTAGTCATCTATAAAATAGTCAATTTACATGCACATTCATATATCTTTACTCCATTGTATCTGTTGTATGATTTTTGTGTTGAGGATAGGTTTGGGATCATTTCTTTCTTTCTCAATTTCTTTTTTACCTGAAACTGTGAGTTGGTATTAAAGAGAGATGCAGCAGCTGTGTTGTAAATATATTGTCAAGTAAGGCCTGGGAAATAAGGACTACAAACCCCAGCGACACAGGTAAGTGTTGGGAGACACCATTTCCTGTCTGTTAGTCTGATGACCTGTTGATTGTGGAATTGGGGAAACCTGTTCATACATGGGATGAACTAAGACCATGTTTACACATGCCCAGCTATTTTTATAAACTGACATTTCACCTCCTCTGTTTACAAATAAAAAAAAAACAAACCTGCATGCACACAACTTTCCAGAAAAGTTGTCGTTTACACTAACGCCTATATATATGCCGACTGACAGCAGCGATGTCCATGACATCCAGGAATTTTCACACCACTCCTCCGGCAGAACCACTTCATTTTTAAAGTTCTCCCACCTGACAACAGTGCGTCCAGGTCGGACCGTGGCTGGCAATGGCACGGACACACTCTTCGTGTCGGATGGAGAAGTTGCTGCAACATTGCTGACCTTAGAGCACTCAGTCGTCTCCGCTGCTCTTCAAAGTACAGCACTTGTATTTGCAAATACAAACAAATGGAAAGGGATTGCACCAGCAGAAATACGACTGCTATTCTGCATGCATCCATGATCATCATAGACTGAAAACATAGACTGTAAACTATAAACAACGGCACATTTAACCAATGTTTCCTGCGCACAATCTGCCATCGGCTACCCAAATCTCCGTTTTTCTCTGTTTTTACATTTTTACAAAATATCCACTCTGGCCGGAGTTTTTAAACAGCACCTTCTTCAGTGGCAAATTCTTCGTTTGTGTCTAAATGAAGGGTGCAAACAATGGTTAATATACATTTTTAAAAATAACTAGGGATGTATAAACAGGGCCTTAGTCCATGCAAAGAGATGAAGTGGTATAGTTTGGCCTGCACTGTGCAGCTTTTCACATGAATTTGGCCAGCGTGTTTGTATACCTGCACCACCATCTCCGCCATCTTTCCACCACCACACCAAAACCTGAATGAAACCTTCCAGATGGAGCTGGCAGCTCATGGGAGCAGAGGACTGTGCTCATCGGGACACTGTGGTAGAAGTCCAGACTCCATGCCTGGTGAGCACAGCTGTCATTTTCAGTCTTATCAATTAATAGGCTGAGAAATTACCACAGTTAGTCAGAATATTGAGGTTTAAACAACTTGTGACCTGGAACACTATTTTAAAACATGATAAAGATATGAGTTTCTTACCGTGAGCGTAGCTGCCATGGAAGTACAGTACACAAAGGGCCATAAAACTCTGATTGTTCTCTTTCTGAACAATTTCCACACCTGAAGTAACTTCTTTCTCATTGTCCTCCTCCCTCCCTTTGTTTAAAAAAACAGAAATCACTCATGCAAGCAAAGTTTAAGAGAGATGAAAGCATTGTAAATTACACAATGGCAGCTTCCATGGGAGTTAATTTTGTTAAAAACCAAACCTTCTCAAAATGCAAAAACTATTGATGTTTATTTGTACTGGCTCAAGCCTTGGCAAATTTTCCTCAATTTTCTAAAGTGGATACCTAACCGAGCTTGCAGATGTCTTTGATTTGTCTCTCAGAGAGGTCAGGAAACTGGGCCTCCTCTTTGCCATTGCCAAGTCAAAGCTCCAGCATCCTGGGCAGGAGCCAAATACATCTCCTCTGACAGTTTCTTTCTTTATCCAATTTTAGAAATGAAAGAGTTTGAGTCACTTTGAGAGCAAATTTGAATGTCTTCTTCCACCACATAGAAGTCATGCTTGTGAAGCATCTGTTCGGACCACAAGCCACTTGGCCCACAGACAAAACAGGAGTAACCAGTTGTGACACACCAGACGGAGTAGTTACTGTATGTGGCTGCAAACAGGAAAGGTCACTTACCTCTGCAGATAGAGGGACCGTGGTCCATATTTCATGAGTTCAGACTCAGCATCTGCATGCCCAGGTCCACTAAGTACCAAGCCCTGAATATTTTCAGCTGTGTGCTAAAGCCAAATGTGAAGAACAACTCCTCATATGGAGAGGGAATGAGAAAAAAAACAACAACACTTGACTGATTCACAAAAGGATGAAGACTTGTATGAAGAAAATTACCCAGAGAGTACCAAGCAGGTTCCAAGAAGCAATGACTGAAAGGTCAGTTTCTAGGAACTGCAGGGAAAAGTGGTAGCTGTGAAAAAAAGAAAAATACCCAGGTAATTGCGAGATAAGGAGTGCTTTTTACTTGTCTGCATGGATCTGTCCTCAGAAAGATGACCAAAGGAGCAATGAATGGAGTTTATTTGATGTAACAACTGAGCACAAGAGGCTGATACTCCAGAGTCTACGATCTATTCATGTGAGAGCCATAATGCTTTTTGTCAGTGACTATTTCAGCCAGTTAGTGTGTTAATGAATTTGTTTTTTTAAATAGAACTGATAAAAGTCATTGCTCAGAAAATGTACCTTTTTTTTTTTTATCTTTAATGAGTTTTCATTCTGCTTTCTTTAGTTCAAAGTCACACTTTCTTTAGTTTACAGTCACACTCATCCTATTCTCATGGCAAAGTGTTTTGACACGTAGCTTCATGCAAACTTGGGCTTGTGTCAGCACCTATGGATGTTGGCTTCAAAATGCGGTGTGATCAAGCACAAAAATGGCAAGATAGTAAGAGTTCACAATGCACATTCCTCTTTTTTTTCACAGAGAGCTGCACAGAAGCACTCACATGAGGAAATAACATCTTTTTTTTTTTTTTTCTAAAAGAGTAAAACTGAATGTTTATTGGGACAGACAGCTTGGAGACACATATTTTCCCTCATTTCCATACACTATAATACAGAATGGTGCCCATTTCAGAACACGAGAAGATACTGATGACTTCATTGCAACTCTTCACAGACCAGTTTAACCACAAGCCAAATTATCAAGACCAGGGCATCGACAAGCTCTCCACCATGCACACTCTCAAATACTGACAATGACATATGTTTTTCAACCTTCATAACTGCTTATTATAAATGCAACCAATCACTGACCATGGCCACAGATATTAATGGAGACTAAACTCTATCCAGTGCTCATGCAACGCAGAACACGTATTCGATCCAGCGTGTATATAATTCACCTTTTTTTCTTTTTCTTGTGAACTACAGAGACATCATTTGATACTAGATACTGTTCAACACTGCCTGATTTTGCAGAGTTTTGAATAATCAATAAAGTTAACACTGCTGTGCCATGCATGTGTATGTACAAGTGAAATAGTAAATAGGGTTGAATAGGGTCCTAAGTCTTCAAGCCCTTATAGATCTATCTTTAAATCAGTGGGCACATTTCTTTTGTTTACCATCATACTCTTATCTGTTGTTTATGTTTTCATGTTTTTTTTCTATTTCATTTAAAGAGATTAAAAGATTATTGACTAAGTTGCTTTAAGAGCCCTCTTCTCACCATTTCCTGTAAGAACTATCCTTGAATAAAATGCAAAGCAGTAAAAACTTCAGCTTTACTCTGAGTCCTGTTGAAATCAAGATGCACACTTGCCTTTTTGTTCATTTCACAAACATCTCTGGTCATTTAGAATGCGGTGGGTTTGCTTTCCACGCTCTTTGCCTCGGTGTTTGTACTGATGATTCTCCCAAACATTTAGCACTAATCATTTGATTAGCTCTGCTGATAGTTTACATGATTATCCGTCTGAACAGGATTTATCTCAGGGCTCAGTTGTTTTCCTGTTGAGTGAACTCCGCAGAAGTCACTCCATCTCAGACAGTGATCTATGACTCACTGGAAACAGTTTTGTATTCCTCTTTCTCTCAAATTATCATTACTCTTCAACCATTAGTTACTCAGCTCAGAAATAATGGTGGAGAGTATCTTCTTGTGTTAAAGAATAACCCATCTTCCTAAAAGAGCGTCTACATGCCTGAAAATGGTCAAAGAGGTAACACACTGCGAATCCTGTTTGAAGTGCACAGAGGAAGTGTTTTAAGACACACTAGCTTGGAGCAACACATCTATCTCAAAGCAGCTGGTTATTCTGACAATACCCACTCTTTACCTCTCGCTGTTACCTCTTTTCTGTGTCAGACCAGACTGACCTCAGCCCTGCAGGCTGTTATATTACAGCATGAGAGCAATCTGCTGGAGGTGCCCTGTAGAAGCGATGTCTTGTCCTGGGTGTTAGCCTTCAACCCCATCTGAGCTGGAAAACAATTGCAAAAGGCTGTGCAATCAAATTTTTCCACAAAGATTGTGAAGTAAATGTTGCCTTGAAATCATGACTATTTACATTTTGGGCTCTATTTTCGTGCCTTGCCGGAGACGTGGCGCAGGCGCGGCGTAGGTCAGGTCCGCCGCGCCGACAAGGCGTTCCCAAGCACAATTTGGTATTTTGGTGAGCGGCGCAGCCCGCGGAAGTATCCCCCCTCCCCAACTCAGCTCCTCCCAGCGGCATAAGTCGTAGGGAGAGAGGAGAGAGGGCGTGGAGTGAGTTTAACACTAGTAAGACAAACATCCTTTTCCACAAATAAAGACACACTTACATAAAGTTGCATATTTTCAAACCTCACGGGACAAAGGTGGGTTGTGCGCAGAGATCACATTATAAATTCCAATAATGGCATTAAAATCGGAACCATCTGTGCGTAATGACGCATCGAGCTCCATGGCCTGGCTCTTTCTTTCATAGATGTTGGCATATAAAATAAATTTGGCTCACAAAACTGAATACTATAATGTTCGTATGTCCGCCTTACCGGCAGACACAAAAATAGAGCCCTTAGTGTCAATAAGAAGTGTAAAATAATGAGCTATTAACATTACAAAGCTGATGTGATTTTATAAAGGTAACCTGCAGCCTGTTATTACTATCATGTATGTACTGAAGACATCCGTAACAGATAAAAACCAACAGATTTATTTTTCTGTAGGTTAACCTATCTGAGATAATGCAGTACATTATACTTCTTTTCATTCATAAATATACATTTGATTTAGATATTTCAAATGTTTGGATGAACTTAACCTTGGAGACGGTCAGCGCTCCCCCTTGTCATTGGTGCCGCCACAGGGAGAAAATTGTCCAGTTCGGGGGCCTCAGAATTAAATCTACACTTGTATGCAGATGATGTGGTTCTCTTGGCTTCTGTGGGCTTTGGAACAAATTTCAGAGGAGTGCAAAGTGGTTAAGATGAGAGCCATCACCGATAAGCTCAGGCATGATTCTCTGCCAGAAAACTGCGGATTGCCACTTAGAGGTGAAGCGCGAGTTTCTAGTCCAGGTGAAGGATTTTTAGAGTCTAAGTTCTCGTTCACAGGTGAAGGTAAAATGGATAGTAAAACTGATGGTTAGGTTTGTCCACCAATAGTAATAATGGAGGTACTGTACTTTATTGTAATGTTTAAGAGTTAACTGAGCCTGGAGGCAAGGTTCTTGATTTACAAGTGAACCTATATTTCAACCTCCATCTAAGGTCATGATCTTTGGGTCGTGATTAGAAGAAGACAAGCAGGCCGATAGAAGCAAGGAGAATGAGTTTCCTCCCATAGGTGAGTGGGCTCAGCTAAAGAGATAGGGTCAGGAGCTCAGAGGAGGGCTGATACTCATTCACAACAAAAGCACCCAGTTGAGGTGGTTGGGGGATTTGATGAGGATGACTCCTGGATGCCTCTGGGAGTGTGCAAGTAGGAGGATGCTCCAGGGTCAGGGGCTCGAAGTGGGGTGCTCCTCCTTCACATCAAAATGAGACGATTGGGATGGTTGAGGAATTTAATCAGGGTGCCTCCTGCGCTCCTTGGGGGGTGTCCAAATAGGAGGAGGCCTTGAGGGAGACCCAGGGCTTGCTGGAGTGAAGGAATATCTTAGGTTTTCCCAGGGGATGCTGGAAACTGTGGCTTTAAAGTTTCAATTAAGCTCCAGCTTAAGTTTAGTCAGGAAGACTATAACTGCCGTCACAGCTGTCAGTGTCTTTCCACGCCTACTCACCCTTCCTGCCGCCATCACTCAGAGCAGCCATTGGTTAATCGGCCATTCATTGGTGTCTTCGCTTATCCAGTAGCATGGTAACACACACTCACAGCCAGCCTATCCCTCTTATGCACTCGTTTTGAAATGACTCTCTTCTCTGCCTCTAGTTCTTTCTCGCCACTTGTTTGAGCACAGCACTCTCTACCTCCCCATCTCCACCCGATCCCAGCAGAATCAACAGTGCCATCATTCATTCATCCGGTCCCAGTAGTCATCAGCCACCACCAGCTTCAGGACTCCATTGGGGGGATTTTCCTTCCGTCGCACAGATCAAGCTTCCTGTGATCTCACAAATCGCTCCATTGAGCCTGAACGCCAAAGACTTTCTGTGAATTATCATTCTAATAATTGTCAAATAAAATGTCTTAATCTTTAAATGTCTCTCCTGATTGAATTATATTTATTGCATTTCATATACCCAAATTAATGTCAGTGTACTAAATTTAAACCCGATCTTGAATATTGTCATTCTTTTATGGAAATTATTCATTTAAATCTTTAATGGCCAAAGCATAGCTTTGAAAAAAGCTAAAGATACCTAGAGAATCATAGTATCAATCAAAGTATTTCGACAAACAGCAACATGTACAGACAGTAATATCTGAGGTGTGAAACATACTTGCTTTCTTTCTTATTACTGGTCATGTGACTAAGAACAAAGGCAGTGATCTGGGAACTCATTGCTGAGAAACTAGTACAGAAGCTAGCCCCTTAGCTGCTGACAAACTCTCCCCTTACATAAAGGGTATTTGATGTCTATGATATGATTACAAGTTTTTCCTCATTGCTGTTCACACAATGACTGTTTTGCCAAAAAGCTTTTTCAGGTAACGGTGCCTCATATGGCCTGAAACCTTGCCTGTGGCCACCGTCACCCCACTGTTCCTACCTAGTTAAAAATCTAAAGGGGTATCAAAAGCTAATGAAAGACATAAAAACGAAATGAAAAAAAAAAAAAAGCAAAATCATAGAAACTTTAATAAGGAGAACCCAAAGGGAAAGTTCAGCATGATGCAAAATAAATAACACTTAAAGACAGTGCACAACTAAGTTAGACAGGGCAGTAAATTAACAACATATACAGCTTTTTCATTGCTCAACACAGTGCATAAATTAAGAGGCCAAACAGAGCAGAAAGTGTGAAGTAGGGTAGTTTGTGTTTCTGCCAGCAGTAGTTTGACTGAACTGTCCTTTATTTCCTCTAATTACTCCATGTTTTAACCCATTTTCTAAAGACAAGCACAAACAGCTACACGGGCAACTGGGTAACAAACAAGGCGATAAAACTGTCCTACTATTGAACACTTGCACACACAGAAATTGCGTGTGTGCTGAACAGGCAAAGAAACAAAACTAATTTTAAAAAGGACTAAAACACAGCAGTACTTTAAATTTTCTTTTCTTTTTTTCTTGACTGGGATTTAACAGAGAGTTTCTGTCCTTTTATGAATATCCTGTACCATCCTGCAGTATTCTGTGTGTCTTTTCTTTGCTCAGGAGTTTCCTTTTCATGTTTACTCCCAACAGGATAAATTATAGAAGAAAAAAGTCCAAGACATTCTGCAATCCAGCGGAGGATGGTATCATTTCTTTGAGTTGTATGTATTATATAGTGTAAATAACAGATATTACAGCTGTTTTGGTAATATTTGGAAGCCCTCACTGCTTTATAGTTTGATCACTTACCCCAAATGTTAAAAAAGTGTCAGTCAGATTGCAAATACAGAATGAAGATGGCCATAATATGCGTCCGCTTAAAAAATGAGCTCCAGCACAGCCAGGATGTACCTTGACGGTTCATGCTCGGCTCATTATGTCTCAATTCATGGGGCGTGTAATAACAGGTCTTATGAGAGTCTACACTTCTGACTGAAGTCTACATTCACATTATTTCTCCACAGAACACTGGAGAACACTGTGGAATATCTGCAAAACAAGACAATAAACAATCAAGTTCTCAGGTTGGAGCTTAATGACACAATTTACAGATAGTCTGGTCATCATTTCCTTATAAAGTACATTTCCAGTAAGCATCCCTTTATGAGACAAAATAACAAAAAAATTACTGGTGATCAAAATAAAGAAAATATCTAACAAATAAAGACAAAATATGTATATATATATATATATATATATATATATATATATATATATATATACATATTTTGTCTTTATTTAAATTTAAATCTTTATATATATATACAGTATATATATATATATATATATATATATATATATATATATATATATATATATATATATATATATAAAGATTTACATTTTCTGATGGAAAAAAACACAAAAGAACATTCAGAAACACATGGATGAGAAGCAGAAACAACAAAGTGCCTAAATACACCCAGGGAAACAAGCGACAGGTGTGAACACATGACACAGGTGAAGCAAATGAGAGAAATAGAATGAGGGCAAACACAACAAGGGAAGTTGGGACAAATTAGTGCTTCCATAAAAAAAACAGCAAATGAGCACAAACAACTTGTCATGAGAGTCAGTGGAAATTAAGATCCTGAAATTTTGCACCATTTGAGGGATTGAGGGGGCTGCCTTTGTATCTTCTGTTAACCTGTCACACACACTAATAATTATTACTACCAGTGACAGTAGCCTACTGCATTTTTACAGTCCAATAATTTGGTTACACTCAAAGGTTGCTGCTGCTCTGTTTATCTAAAGTTGATAAACAGGGAGCATACATGTTGTGAAAAATGTATTTTTGGGGAACATTTTTGGTTTAGGAGGAAGAGCTGTCATCCAATAATTGAAGTTGAATCCCCGTCCTTCCCCTAGTCTGTCCGTTGTGTCCTTGGGCAAGACAATTAACCCACCTTGCTCCCAGTGTGTGTCCTCCACTGGTGTGTGATTGCGAGGGCTCTATTTTCGTGTCTGCCGGTGAGGCGGACGGTGGTGCACCCCGCGCAGTGTTTTTTTTTTTGTCTGGCGGAGCCCAGCGCACAGCCAGTTTGGTATTTTTGTAGACTGAGGTGCTTTGATGTACGCCAAGCTGGGCGTGGTGGCGCGCTAGGGGGAGGTGTAGGCTGGCGCAGTGGTGCTCGCCAGTGGTGTGGAAAGTGTGCTGAAAACTTGCCAATTCAAACCTGGTCAGCTTTCAGCGCAGGCAGAGCGCAGCTGGTCTAGTGGTATTTTGGTAGACTGGTGGCATAGTGCGCATACGTCACCAATCCCTCACCGGCAGGTTTCCACAGTGTCAGGCACATTTCAGTGCAATAAATAATCAACAACCAATATTAAGTGCAACTATCTGAATCAGCTCATACATTTAGATCTATATCAATATATTCTTATCTGTATCTTATCTGATGAGAGCGTTTGGCACGTGTTTGGACACAGCTGAAACCACATTTAATTAAATATCCAGTAAATAGTCACACATGTTGAAGTTAACAAGATATTTAATTCGTCTACCTGCTTATTCTCCTTCTTCCTCACACAGCTCGACTGGTGTTGTGCCGTAGAATGCATCCCCTGCATCCCATCCACTCATTAGCTTCTTAAAGTGGAACAAAATGACCTCATATTTGAAAAAAAACCCACAAGTATTGGATCATGACAACATGCCAAATGGAGCAGCAAACTTTCGTTCTGTTTATATGTGTTTAAAAAATGCACATATAAAGGTGTACTCAGGTATATAAACTCTACAGTAAACTGTAGAACATTATATTTTTGAGACAGCAAATATTCAGAATCAGAGGGCTATTTTTTTCAGTTTATCTGAATAGCCTGAATGATATCATTGAAGGCACATGCTTTTGAATCCATCCAACGGTAAGGAAAACTTGGATTATTTTGCCTTGTTATGTACTTTTAACCCACTCCCGTCAGGGGGTGCATTCTACGGCACAACACAAGACACGTCCCTGTGTCCCCTCCCCGTCCTGCTGCTGCTGCGGCGGCAAGGCTGACCAGATGATTTATAATATTGATCAGTTGAGTTATTTACTCAAAAAATAAAAGAAACTTCCATTCAAAATTACGTGTTTATCTGATGTTCTGACGAATATTATAATGTTCAGTTGGGTGTGCCAAGTTCATTTTATATGTCAACATCAACGAAAGAAAGAGCCAGGCCATGAAGCAGGATGCATCCTTTACACACAGGTGGTTCCGATTTTAATGCCATTACTGGAATTTCTGTTGTGATTTTTACGCACAACCCACCTTTGTCATGTGAGGTTTAAATATATGCAGTTTTATGTGAGTGTCTTTATTTGTGGAAAAGGGTGTTTGTCTTCCCAGTGGGTACAACCTTACACACACCAAATCCCTCTGTTCTTATTTGAGAGTGTGAAGGACGCCCTCTGCAGCGCTTACAGTGACACTTGTTAAGGGGCTGCCTTCTTTCGCCATCGTGTGGCATTACTGTCTTCAGACATCTCTTGATCTCTTCGAATGCTTCACGAAAATTGTAATACGCCTCGCCGGTTGCAGATTTAAAGGTGAGGAGAGGAGCTAATGTGATTGGTCAATACAGGTCTGGGCTGTGTTATACCCACTCCACGCCTTCCCTCTACGCCGTCTCTACTACTTACACCGCTGGAGAGCGAGGCACGAAATAAAGCTCTGAGTGTTGTGTGGTGGTGGTCAGAGAGGCCACAGGCGCAAACTGGTGGCCATGTTTCTGTCAGTCTACCCCAGGGCCTTTGTGACAACTAAGGTAGTTTGCCACCACCAATGTGTGACTGTGTGAGCGAATTAGTGATGTATCCAATGTAAAGCGCTTTGAGGGTCTCTGATAAAGTGCTAGATAAAATCTGATGCATTGTTATTACTATTTATTTTGCTGGCACTCACCTTGTGTATGATGTTAGTACTAATTTCCTCGTCAACTTGACACCAAATTATCACAAAAGAAGCACGGACTGAAAAAAGTGATGATTTTGACAAAACATGGTCCCTGCAGAGAATAATTCTGGTGACGTTAGCCAAATGCAGAGCTACGTATGTAATGAGGGAATTATACTTATTCAAGCCTTTCTTAATATTCTTGATCTGTCAATATATTTCTTTGTTTAATCTCTTTTTTTTTTCAAACTAATTATTTAGTAGAGCAAAGCCCTCACATGTACTTAAACTTGTTTGTTCTGCACTTATTCTGTTTCCATTGCATTATTTGTGACTGATTCTAACAAAGACCTTTTTAATGTCTGTGTTATTGTCTGCATTCACTCAGTCTCGACTGATGTTGGGGTGTAACAGGAAATTTGCCAGTGACTAAAATGCAGACAACCGGGACTGAGCAATAGATGCAGTTCAATGATTTAACACAAAATGCAGGTGTAAGGCTTACAGGGAGGTGATGCAAGAAGGGTCAAAAACTTGAAAGCACTCCGACAGAGGCAAGAAAACATCAAATAAGGAGCAGGCAGGAATCCAAAATCCAATAAGCAAAAAGGTCAAACACACAGGTGGACAGGCAAAAACAGGGTCCAGATATAGGTCTCGCAATAAAAAAAAAAAAACATACAGGTAAACTGAAAATAGAAGCAATAAATCAAGAAAAGCAGCTTGTGGGAATGGAGCACTATGAACTACCTTGGAGCAGAGAGAGAAGTGATATTGAGAAAAACAGTTAAGGTGAACAAATATTAAAAAAGTGAGTGAATAAAAGACTGAAATGCTTTGAATTTAACTGTGATGGAATTCTAATAAAAACAAGATTGACAGTAAAACTAAAGTTAAATCTTTTTTATTGTGTGGAGGTGGGCACAGTTTATCAGATACTCCCTATAAATGTCTGTATATAATAAGTCTGTTTATAGTTAATCTGAAAACACTGTTCAAAATGAACGGTTCACATAACCCAGAATGTTATAACCTGATGGGTATATATGGGAGTCTGATGGTCCACTCGAAGGGTTTCCATGGCCCAAGTCCAGTATAAAAAAAAAAAAAAACTAACTCCAAACAAATTATGACCATGAAGGTCTGTAGGTTACCTCAAGTCTACAAAGGTCATATGCTTCTGC